TTATATACATTCAGTTATATATTTTCTTTTTGAAATATGAATTATTCATTTAAAAAAATCTATATATTTTTTTAATTATTTAAAGCATAAGCAGTAAGGCTTATTTTCTTCATGCTGATATCAGGACAACTCCATCACCTTGACATTTTGACTTTATGCCTTCAAAAAACTCTGTAAATATGTAAATTAATTTTAATTCAAAAATTAAAAACACGCTCATCAGAGAAGAGGTGTGTTCAAGTCATTGTAAGTATGAATTTCATTCTTTATATAAAACTATAACAACAACAAAAAGTCATGTCATTAACCCTTGGATCGGTCAAAGTCTAGTTTAGATTCTCCATTGCACTTCCCACTCCCGCTTGGGCACTGAGAGGGGAGGGCTGCAGTTGGCACGAGAAGCCAAGCAGGCCGCTGTTCCCGTGTCTACAGACAGGGATTTCCTGCAGCACGTCATAGCTCAGCGATCACGGTGCTGCCATCTGCGACTGAAAAAGATTTACATCAGCAGCTAATCCACAGCGCCAGTGCAATGTGTATACACTCCAAAACAGCTTTCTCTCCTCTCTCCTACAAACATACACAAATCTTCCAGGCTGGCTGTAAGCAATGCCACCCAAAGGCCTGTAGCGCTACCAAAAAGCCAACTAACCATCTTTCAATTCCACTTACCTCTTTTCTTACTCCCCTGTATCTGTCAGTCTGCAATGTTCAAAAAAAACTTCAGTCCATTAAGTCTTCTGAAATGAGAGACCCCAATGTGTCATCCAGCTATATGCCCTGGTGAACATCACTCATAAAACCTGTCATCTACTGCTGTAGTGTCTCTTCCCACACATCAAGATCAGACACACACACACACACACACACACACACACCCGGGAAGCTGACTGTGTCCGTGTAAGCATGTTAGTGTGTGTTGTCTTGGGCGCCTGAGCTTTATAATTTTGTGAAACCCTTCTTGCAGAGAGCTCCTTTTTGTTGAGGCTAGCGAAAGGGTTAAGAACGACAAATGGACATCCAGTGAGAGAATGGCATGCTTGAGAAGCACATTTTTAACGCGGGGGTAGGAATTAAAACAATGCCTGCCTTTTATCCACACACTGCTCTAATTGGATGGGAAACTCTGCCGCCTTGGCACTCTGTGGGCGAATCAGAGGGCAAAAAAAATATATGCCACAGAAACCCAGACTACACCACCTGCACTCGTGCCCAGACACCACCACCACACAGAATTGTAGTGTGTATGTATTAATGTCATATCTGAATATCTTGTATTGTGTTCGTTATGGGTCTAATAATGCTTAGCTGGCATGTATTCACGGGTGATTGGATACTTTAATCTAGCCTGAACTTGGTTAGTTCTGAGAGAAAAAAATATCATAACACCATATGGATCAGAACTGAAAACAACGCTAATCAATATTTCCACAACCAATTGCTTTCATCAACAGCATCTGCTATGGCACACTTTCTCTCAATTAGTGGTATTGACAATATCATAACACCATATGGATCAGAACTGAAAACAACGCTAATCAATATTTCCACAATCAATTGCTTTCATCAACAGCATCTGCTATGGCACACTTTCTCTCAATTAGTGGTATTGATCTTTTTTTTTTAAATGATCCTCATTGATATTGTTAACAAATGACCAGAAAATGGAATGTGACAGTTCTACAGAGAGAGATGCAAAAAACCACCCTCAGCGGTGGCTGTGCAGCATTAATCTGGGATCTATTAAAGTGCTGTATCTGTTGGTCAATGTACATTACTGGAGGCTCTTAATTCATAAACTTCCAAACTAATTGTCCGGCAAAGAGTTTTGAGTTTTAGGTTTGCATACTACATTCTGAACTCATTGAACTCTAATTGAAAACTAGGGGCCAGATTTACTAACAGCTTGCGCCAGAGCAAACCAGAACTGTCAGAATTTACTAAAGACACGCAGTGAAGAATTAGCACTGAAAAGGCATGGACACAGTTATTTTTGCGCCTGACCTTATTGAATATGCATTTGTAGGAGTTTCCCTTTCAGGCGCAAAATTTATGGGAGGAGAGTATTAAAATGAATCATGCAACACGATTTAATAACGTTTGCGCTACTCAAATTACTGGTATTTGCGCCATTATTTAACGCCCAAAAAAGCATGTCTTAAAGCAGGTGCTAATTTGCACTGCTCTTGGTAGATTGCGCTGGTCATTATGGAAATGATCTGACTGCGTCTGTGTTCTTTAATGTGCTCATTGTTAGTAAATCACACACAGAATTTCCCCCTCCCATCGGTGCTTTTATGGAATTGTGCTCTAAATCTAATTTGACCTTTTTAGTAAATCTGGCACTAGATGTTTTAGTCTACATGATTTGAGGTACAATTTATGCCCATAGCACAGGATGACTTGCATGCTGAAGTTTAATACTTAGGAGTTAGGGATTACGCAAAACTTCTCAGTCCACATTGTTGTTGCCCAGGGTCGTTGGAAACTCCGGGGCGAGAAAATTGGGGAGTAGGAAAGTCGAGCTCTGCTTGGGGAAGAAGCCCAGCACCTAACACCAACAGTGCTGCACACCGCACGGCAGCAGCCAAGGGAATTGCTGCTTAGCTGACCCAGAAATCCAGGGCCAGCTTTGTTTTAACAAGCAGGGGAGCCTTCTACCACTTTAGCAACTGTGCCTCAACCACAAGAAAGAGCCCAGTGCCTCAGAAGAGCTAGCGGGGAGGAAATTAAATATTACACCATCAGGGAATGGTTTCAGTTGGATAAGGGGGGCAGGACGTTAAGAAGTGTAAAGGTAGTCTGGGGGAGGGCAGGTTCATAAGCGCGGCGGACGACGGTGAGGAATTAGCAATGTTTCGTACTCGCTGATGAAGAAGTATGTTCATTACCAGCGTAATTCGAACAAGATGCCGAAGCAGGTAGTAGGAGAAGGCGAAGAAGGCCAACATTCTTTATTACACACCTCATTTCATTTAACTGACCTTTAAATATATATACTTATTTATGCATACAAGAGTTGAAAAGAGTCGGTCAACTTTGGTCCCGCTATTTAAAGGGATGGGACTTGTTTTCAAGCTGAGCAGTGCACCACGGCTTGGCAGACAGGAGCTTGAGTTTGATCTTGCATCCACAGGGCAATCAATCAGCTGTTCAATGCTCCAACTGCAGCCCGCTCCGTTTGGTAAACAGAGCGTCAAAGGCTATTAGGACAGCGGTTCCTCTCTGAAGACCCAGCCTCCCTAACCGAGCACTCTCAGGCCCGATCCTGAAAACTTAGCAGGTATCAGCTATCAAAGGACAGAGATGCTGGGACCCCTCTCTCTCGCTCATTATGTCTGAGTAGGAAACAATAGCTGATAATAAGAGGCAGGCTGGTTCACTTTTGAGCTGCTGGTCGATTTACACTCACCTTGTCCTTCATGAGTATTTCCCAGTCAGCACTGGGCTAGACCTCTGCCTTAATGATCTACATATTATCTCCTGAAGGTACAGAAATTCAATAATATCTAGTCTAGAAAAAGCTAGTAATTAAATACATCAAAAAGCTTGCATAGCCACGCAATCAGCCATCATCAAAGAATGCAGCCATTTCTCACTAAAATGAACATCTCATCTGACTAATTCTGGAAGAGTTTGGAAAAGTTGTGCCGCACAGCAGACATAATGTGTTGTTTGAGTTGTTGGCTCATTTGACGTCAAGGGGGTACAACTGGATTGCTGCAACTAGAAAAAAGATGGCAGAGGGTTGCAAATGTGTGTGTGTGTGTGTGTGTGTGTCCGCCCACACATCTTTACTGCAGGAGTCATTACCTAACCTCCAACCAGCCTCACAAACAAGGGAATCCATTAACGCACATCAAAGGTTAGCCAAGAAAATATATAAATAAATGCTACATCAACCAAAAAAGAGAGAGAGAGACGAGGGAGAGAGCGAAAACCAGACTTGTTTGTGAACTCTTTACCTCCACCTACCCAGAAACACACTCTAAATCTCTTGCACCCCCACCCTTTTAACCTAAGTGGGCCTTCCTATTGCCTTTGCATGTTCACTTGTCCACTGTACTATAGTCATTAACATATTTGGAGTGCAGCGAGCAGAAAGCTTAATTGTCCTTAATTGCTCGGCTAAATATGTTCTCTAATGATTCTCCTCAGATCTGTGACTGCCTTTTGCGCAATTTCCCGGCCGCTGGCTTCATTATCCCTGCCTCCTCGGAATAAAGCGTCTTTAGAGGCCAACTCCCCCCGCCGTCTTTTGCTCTCACACTCTCTCTCTCTCTCTCTCTCTCTCCCCCCAACGACACAACAGTAAGAGCCAGTCGGGCCGCCTGGCTCACGGGAGGGAGGGGAGCAACGCACAATGGAAGTCTTTTGTCAGGGCACAAGAGCCAAAATGATTAGAAAACCAAATCCATGCTGAAACAGTGTGTTAATTGACTTCAGCTCTGTCGTTTTAATGGCGAACTAACGTATGGTCTGACTAAGGCCTCGGCCCCCGCCTTTTGTTTTTGGCGCCTCCCTCCCCTCGCCGTTCGGAGCTTAATGGCATCTATGATTGTTTGTTTAATGGCAGAACAGCACGGGGACTGTACTCGTATTAATAAACGTGCTGTGCCAGATCGCCATTGTCCTTAGGATATTCTCTTGCCTTATCAGTCATCAGTGGAGCACGGAGCCACGGCATTGATGTCATAGACACGGCCGAGGGACTGAAGATGTGCTGTTCTCATTCACTTAGAAACATCTCACTAACTCCTGTGCCCCTGATGCTGCATGACCAGGTCTGAAGAACCAGGTGATTATAAGAATCTGCTCTATTGGTAACCAGATCTGAAACTGCACTACAATGAACATTGTAGTCTATTTACAATGCAATGTCTATCAATTATCAAGTCTGAATTATGAATGGCGTGGGAATTTTCCACTCTCAGTTTCAAAAGAGGGGAACGCCATTAAGATCAGACGAGCATATAAACTCGTATTCTTTTACTTCTTACCCGTGTCGGCAGAAGGACATTTGCGAATGGTGAAGATGGCGCTCAACTCCTCCTCTTCCTCGGGTAAGCCCTTCTGCAGGCGTTGCAGCTTCCGCAGGCTTTCGCTGCGCTGGTGCTTCATGGAACGGACGTGTTGGATGAGGTTCAACTTGGCCTTGGTGGAGTAGTTACACAGGACACAGTGGTAGTAGCTCGACTCACCCTCCACAGCGTTCTCGTGCTGCTGCAAATGCTGTAGAGAGAGAATAAACACGAGAGTTAGCATGGGGTTTTTAATGAACGGGATACCTAATGCCATTTACAAATGAATAAATCAATTACCAATCAGGACTCTGTTGTCTAACACAAAGTCAATGTCATTCATCAACAGTACGCTGATCTCTGGACCTTAGCGTAAGCATGTGTCTCTGTGTGCTAACAAGACATAGGAGGGACGTTGGCGTCCCCGGGGCTGGTAGACAAGAGGAGCATGCCAGCATCTACATGAAGAGCTTGAGCAGGGACACACGGAGGAAAGTGCATTGATTCCTTTCACTCAAGAGAAGTCTTTCGTCTCTGAAAAGGAAACTCCAAACATCTGCCTGTTTCACGCATGGGATGTTAAATATTGATCACCAGTGAGTCAAATCCTGCTTCTTTGAGAGCGAGGCAAAGTGAGAGAGATGGGGCGGTGGTGGGGAGCTCTGACCATATCCAGAAGAGGGTATAGAGATCCTTGGGGGGACCAGAGATATGTGCTACGATCCACAAACTCAAAACAAGCCAACCACACCGCACACCCAACGGTAAAACAACAATCCCGAGCTGAGTCACTGTTCATTGAGCACACCACACCTAATCAATGAGACAAGACCAGCACAATATGTTGCACTGCAGGTCTATAGATCTGACTGCTAGTCCCTATTTATCACCTTGTGCATGTATGCTCAAAGCACTTACTAATACATCTTGACTAACCTTGATTCATGTCTTCTTTCAAGTCATGATTGTTTTATAAGCTCACGAAAGCAACTTGTGAATACTGCCGGTGTTAATCAATGGCAATTTCTCCGTTATTTATTCTTCATGGCCATCATCTCTTTGGTGAATTATGTTTGTGTATGTAGAGTGACAGATTTATAGTGAGACAATACGCACACCTACTGTCCACACTCAGTGTAAAACAAGGGAAACAAATAACCTTTCTGTGTTCAAGAACGGCATGGTGCATCTTTAAAATGATAAATGTGCATGAAGGTCATTGGTATCTTTAATACTCAAAACACATAAGATGGTTGAAGCCATGGCCAGCAGCTTGCGTTTGAGCTGTCATGCTTTAAGGGGCAATGTGAGTTAAAAAAAAATAAATAAAAACCTCTTGTAACATTTCCAATCACTTCTGCTCATCATTTCCTGTCCTCTCTCCACTGTAAGACTATATATAAAAAGACCAACTATGATAATGTGATTAAACAGCTGCATCTTTCCTAGGTCTTTTTACCTTGTACTCGTTGTTAACCTTTTGTTACGTGAGTCACAAAAAAAGCAACTAAATTGCACCATGAAGGAGATGATGCAAATCTGAAAAAAATATCTCTCTGCTTTTTTGCCTTGTGAAACATGTATTTTCTCTCTTCTGGAGAAGCTCTTAATCTCCTGCACAGACCACCCCCAAACCCTGACAAAGGTCGGGGAAAACAAATTGATTCATTAAGACGCGGCTGAGTTGGCTTTGCCCTGCAGCGCAGAGATGAGATGCATTTCCATCGGCTTCGGATGCACAAAGCCAGAGTAACATTAGATTTTTAACCCAATTAAGGCCACATCAGGTGTTGACAACAGTGAGAGAGGAAAAAAATATAATGTTCCCTGAAATGTTCTCCTTCTCTGGTAATATTTAATTTTCGGGTACCATTGCTATAAGGGATTTTTTTTTTCAAGGCAATTGTGGTGCTGGTATCATATGTCATCCTGGTATACCTAAGATGTGCATTAGGGCCACTGACTTCCAGGAATGGGTTTTTGCTTTTTGTGTGTGCCCCTCAGCTCCATGTAATGGAGTTATTAGGTGATCGTAAAAGGCTCTGTCTTTCTCCTCACGCTCTCTCGTGCGCTCCTTCTCTCCCTTTCCTGTTTGAAGTGGGGGTATGATGTCATTGAGTAGGTGCTGCTGGATGTTTTGGGCTTTGCTTGAGCTGCGCTTCTCCACCTCACCCTCCCTAACACATATGCAGCGTATCAGAGCTCAGGTACACTGATCTGTCACAGATTTGCTTGCATAAAACACCAAATCAATCCATTGCCTGCTTTGAAATGGCACAGTTTCTTCTTTCTTCACAAGAGAGGAGGAGAATATATTAACTGAAATTAATGTCTATACTTCAGCCGTCTTTGTGGAAATAAGTGCAGCGAAAAAGAAGACACCTGAAATAAACTTCAAAGATCTTTAAAAAAAAATGTGGGGAGTTTTACAGTGCCCATAAAAAGGGCAGGATTTACACGGGTGAACCTTAGCTGGCTCAGCCCAGAGAACAGCAATATATCACTTTTTTACCCAAAACTGAAGCTAGTCTACCACGCAATTGATGCTAAATATGTTAGCCATATGCTACACCATTACAATTTTGGTACAATATTTACACCAAAGCACTATGGTGCTTCAAAGAATAACATGGTTTTACCAACATGGCATTGCAATTATACTTTATGTAAGGGATATTAGAAGGTTCAAGGCTCTCCAACACACCAGAGATAATATTCATAATTTCCATGTAGCAGAGATACATATATTGCTCTCCAGGTCTGACACCAGAGGGCCAAACAGACCCATCCAAGGACCTATGTCTCTTTCTTACAAAAACACAGATATTTCCACGATTCCATCTCAAACATCCAAACGAGGGACTCCTGAGACGCTTTCAACACCTAATCTCCCACCCAACACACACACACACACCCCTGGGTCTCAACATGAAACACAATAACGCATGAGAGAGCACTTGTGTGATCCTATGATCCTGAGATGAAGCTCCATGCTGATAAATCACCTCCAACTGAAGTGCAGGAATTCCGCGGCTTAATGAAAAAGTCATGTTCACTGAGCAGGGAGGAGCCGGTCAGGGTGCTGTTGAGAAGTCTCCCCTCCGCAGGGGCCCCAGAACAGCCACATACAGGCCCCTGGAGCCAGAGAAGGCCACAGAGTCAGCATGGCTTACATTACTACTCAAAATTCATTTAATTGGCTGGAAGTTAATGGCAGACTTACAGGAGAGCACATGAGCTGTGGGGAAGTGCAGTGGAGCGAAACCTGAGTGGGCTGGAGGGAGTAAACGTGTGCGTGTGTGTGTGTGAGAGAGAAACAGAGAGTGCAAGTGTGTGCAGCAAGTGCGGCCCATCTTTACCGGACAGGAGTTTTGATTATTCTCTCTCACACACATATGCACATAACAACCCAAGTGGAGGATGAATCAGTCCCCTGTACTCGTGTAGGTGAGGAAAAGCAAGGGCGACCCACCTTATCCACCCCATCGCAACTCAACATCGCGTCTCTGCCTGCTTCGCTCCCATCATGCAGAGCTATCACTTTCAACACCTACCTGCTCCTGTGCATGGATCTACAGAAGCATCCACTTATGTGGGCTGAAAAAACACACACCTTTCACACCCATCACCGCTTTAACTGCCAGAGAGCCGAATATAGGGCAGGCACTCAGCATACTTCCACAAATGCCCAGGCCCACAGTGGAATCGTGGTAAAGCGGCTCTAAGTTCCACAACATACTCTACACAAGTACATGGACTCAAATGCAAGCTATTCATATGCAGGTCCGTGTTGGATTCTCAATGTTACTGCAAGAGCTGCTATACAAGGTATTAGTGCAAACTGTCTTCTACAGTAGGTGTTAATTTTTACACACAGATTTGTTTTATGATGAAAAAAAATTAATTGTCAATATTTCATCATGTCACATTTATTAATTTTAGTCATACCTACTATCAAACGAAAATTATGTCTAATTTTAGTCAACAAAAATGAAATTTTATCACTGCTTTTTTAAAAATAAAATGGTTTAATAATCATGATACACTTGAACATTTTCATCAGTCAGTTCAGAATAGTCAGTTCTTTTTCAATTTGAATTTGAATGCATGCAATTTATCTAACGTTAAACTATCACCATGCCACATAATTGTCACTACCTACCTGAATTACAACAATCTACAGTATATACACTTTTGAAGGTAACTCTATTGTTCGTTCGAGTACTGTGGTTTGTTACGTGTTATGTATGTGCAACTGGACCGCACAGATACACTGGCCAAGCATTCACGTATGCATTTGTGTAGAGTATTGTTTTTCTGGCCTAAAGCCATACACAAATGTGCATGTGGTGTGTGTACAGCCACACACACATACAAGACCCCCTTTTGATCCAACCCCTATTTCTACTATTAAATTTGGCAGTGCTCTTAATGTAAAATGAATGCATTAAAACAGATGACTATCCAGTGGCTAAATAGCTATCAATTTCTCCCAGAGCTGACGAATTCCCACTGTGAGTGAGCCAGAGAGTGTCTGAATGTGTATTGCTTTGTAATTATCCCAATGATTCTCGGCACTTAGTGGCCTGGTGATTTCCACTCATACTCGCTCACACACATACATACATCTGCTTTTCATGGTGTATCATGGTGGGGACTTTTCATTCACTTCTACTGTTTTAATACTGCACTAATTTATTTTTTAGACCTACTTCAACCCTCAACACAAACCATTTTGCATTTTCATTATGCATGTTTATTAAGCCATTTTCCTGATAGGGAAATGGGGTGGGGGGTCCCCACAATATAGGTGATTTTAGGATTTACTGTCCTTATGGAAACATTTAGTCCCCACATAGGTAAAATCCAGGGGTGTGAAGTAACGAATTAGAAATACTCACGTTACAGTAATTAAGTAGTTTTTATCAGTAATTGTACTTTTTTTAGTAGTTTAAAAATTGTGTACTTTTACTTTTACTTGAGTACATTTTAAGTGATGTATTGGTACTTTTACTCCGCTATTTTCCTCCGTTTGTGGTCGTTACATGCTTATTTTAATTGTATTTTTTTATCCATCAACGTGATTGAATAGATAGTAATAGGTCTCGTAACTTTCGTCAAATCAAATTGTGCATAGAAAACTTTAACCGCCAACTGTTTATCATGGCTGCTGGAAGCGCATTCTTCAAGCATCAATTCAGTCGCATCTTC